ATTAGAACACACAAACGTTTGATTCAGACTGCTTTTCAAGGCAAGGGGTAATTTTTGATAGATGCAAACTCAGATATTCTAATTAACCAACTTTGTAGATAGATGGAAACACTCTGTTTAAACTATAAACATATTCATGAAATTATGAAAAATGCTGGAATGAAAGCATGCAATTTTTGCAGTTGATTAATTATGTGTCAGTGTTTATTATAATTTAATATAACAAATGAATTGGTCTCTGTTTAACACAACTTAATAATGTGCGGGATCGGCTTGTTCATACAGACAGAAAGACACAAAAGGACTTTATACAACCTTATGGATTTTAAAATGGTACCTTCTGCCTGCTACATACACAACTTCACTATCCCATTTACCCATTTCTTGATGCAATAACTCTATTGTTCGCATTAAAATATTTTTAAAATTTAAATTAAGCCCGACATACTCCAAAGTGAAAATACACTCAAAAAGTATGCGAACTACACACAAGAAAAAATGCCAAAAAGTAAAGAAAAAAAAGCAGACTCTACTCTCATTTGTAGTACAATATACATTTATCCCAGTGGAGAGGCTGCGAGTTGAGTTGAGTTCTTGTGTTTGTAATAACAGCATTTTTGCTTAATTAACAAAACAAAGCAATGCCAAAATAAAATATGGTAAGCAAAATAATAAAAAAAGAAGGTATCCTCTATTCCCCTAATACAAGTCAAAGGCTCGTCTTGCATTACCACCTGCGATAGGGTAGGAGAGCAACGGTTGGGTGAGGGTGGCACGTGAGCTGAGGTGGGAAAATATCATGAATAATAACAGAAAAAAGACAACAACAAAGAAATAAAGAACAACCACTCACAATGCTGGCAGCCTCTAAAAAAACGTTGGCAGACAAAAAGATTTATGTTTTCTTTTCATTTTGTACTTTTACATTTCACATTTTACATTTAGCATTTTGCATTTGAGGCGAGCGACGAAAAACAAATGAACAACAAAATTGTATAAAAATTTCTATAGTCTACTCTCGTTGCATACTTAAAGGCACAGGCATAAATAAAAAAAATGAAAAACAAAAACAAAGCAAAGCAAAGCAGCCAAAGAAAATGCTCAAGCACGGAAAAAGGAAAAGACAACGCGATGCCAAGTGCATGAAAATAGAATAAAACACACACACACACAGAAACACACACTCATACAGCGAATGCATTTACCCAAAGTATTCAAAACTGACTCAAATAGGGTGCTTTGAATTAATACTTTTTCGATTTGGTTTTGTCTCGCTGTCAGCCTGCTAACTGAGTGGGAACCAGAAGCTCCCACTTCACAGGACAGTGAGGGGATTAAAAAATTAAAGGAGTTATAAATTTATGTTCTTGCTGGAGTTCAATGTAGGCTTTAAAGTTATAGGTGATGAATATATCAATATTAAAGATTATTACATCTGCTAATCATTAAGAAATTAACTAATATACATTTAACATTCAGACAGACAGACTACATCGACTCGGCAGGTGATGCTAATCAAGGATATTTATCTTATGGAGTCGCAGATGCTTCTTTCTGCCTGTTATATACTCTCCCACAACTTCATTATACAATTTTTACTCATTTTAAAGGGGTAAAATAAGCACTATGTTAGACGGCTATCGGCCTATAACGCCGGCAAACATAGGTTATTTTTGGTCCGTTGTGATAATCAGCACTAAATAAGACCAACAGAAGACTAATGATGAACAGTTCATTAACATAACACTTAAACGCTTAATTATTAAGCGTTATTAATCATATTAATAACTACAATCATGTACAGCACTCTCGGCTCAACTTAACTTAAGTAAATAGCAAAAAAAAACTTTCCAAGCAAACTTGCCTCACATGCATAATAATGATGGAAAATTTGATCTTGGTCAGACAACTGGCGCCACGAAAAGCCCATAAATCATACACTCAAGTCCCCCCAAACACACACACACTAGCTACACACATTCTGATTATATGCGGAGCATGCATGCAACGATAACTCCATTCAAAAGCTGACCATCAGCAGCAGCAACAACAACAACAGCAACAGCCAAACAATTTTCCAATTTTCACATGCGAATTATGGTCAGCAAAACAAACTCCCCCTACCCCAACTTCACTAGCCCCTACTCTGCCCCCTAAACCACACTCTATAACTATTGAAAGTCTGGCAACCCACCACAGATACGAATTTTGGAGTGATTGATAGCATGTTATGAGTTAACATGCTATTATTAGACCACAAGATGCTACCAAACAACTGACTGCATAAACAACAACAACATTTGAGAGCCTGTCGAGCATCGTTGGTCTCTCTAAACCAAATGTTTACTCACGACTTTTCGCTGGGGTCTCTGGGCTTTGATTTTTCGTCTCGATTTTTCGTCATATTTGCCAAAAGTGGAAAATTGTGCAAGAGAAATTGATTTCACATGATTTACGTGCAAGTTTTCGCAACAACAACAGCAACAAACAGCAGCCCAAGATCGAATTTCTAATCTCATGTTCGCTGCTGTTGTTGTGCGCCACTGTGGGGGAGCGGGTGGAGGACGGTATCTTGGCCAAGTCGGCAGTTTGGCATCACAAATCAATCGAATCGGATAATCACATGCCACACAATGCAGCCTCAACTTCAGCTGCAGACGCAGCTCGTTAAGAGCAACTACTGGCCAACAGATGGCGCTGCCGATCGTGTTCAGTTAGTTAGCCTCCTAACTGCTGTAACTGCTACTTGGTCAGTTGCCCAACAACAGCTAGCTACTAACGCCATTTCAATTCCAAGCAGCTTTATCCATTAAATAGTGTTCGTTTTCTATCTATATAGTTAATATAGTTAAAATAATTTCCTTAAGCTGGCAAATGTCAAAGGCAAACTCTGAAACTCAATCAATATTCAGTCTGTGAAGCGCCGCACAAAGTCAATGTCAATAAATGCTGACAAAAAAAAAAACTAAAATCAGTTTGCCATTTATAGAAACCAAATATTGCATAACCAATGAATATTATCCACTCTATCGACTCTATTTAAATATGCGTAACTGTTGTATACTGTTAATCCGCATCGATTTTATGTTAATCAACTAAAGGCCACACTTCTTCACACGCTTATAATACAAAGCATAGAGAGCCGATTTTAAGCTATGTTTACTATCAAATTTTGAATGATATTCAAACTATTTTAATAGTTACTTTAATATTACCTATGCAAATATTTTTTAAGGGGCTTCTCAAAGCCAAGCATACATCTCATTTCAGATATCGGATGTCGATTTTCAAAACCAGATATAGAGATATTTTGTTATTATCAAATTGTTCTAAGCCGAAGACTTTTATTTATTGAGTTACTTACCATTTATTTAATTTAAAATGGTTTTAATTTTATCAACACTGGTTTTTTAAAACCAGCTCTAAGGCTATATTAATGGTATCAAGTTTTGCTAGTTATTAAACTTTTCTTTATTCAGCAAAAGTTTCTCCAACTCATTTGACTTTTCATTTTTATTTTTTAGGGGTATCTTAAAGTCAAGCATGCCATGCATTCTTAGTTTTTGTGTGTTTACGCTTTTGAATGGCTTGTTGACATAAATAAATCAGACATTTGCAGCGAATCTCTCAAAGCACGGAGAATAAACTTTAATTAATGCCTTTTGCATATGTCGAATCATTCTGCAGAAACCTGTTTCGAATGCGCAAATGAATAATCCAATCAATATTTACACACCCAAACCAATGACTTGCCAATTTCCGATGAATGTATGTAGAACGAGCTTGTTGCTAAAAGAATCGTTATAATAAAACATGCCATATAATAAATCAATAACCGCAGGGAAGAAACCAAGCCCTACATATATATATATAAAAATAGTACACAAAATAAAATATATTATAAAAATCAATTCAAAGTTTCAAATAATAAAAATCTCACTTGAATTTCACCGGACAACTTTCGGTAATTTATAAAGAAAAAAGTAAAATGCCAAAATACCAAATGGGCAACAAAGAGACAAATAAATTTCGAGAATCTCTCCAGCAAGCAGACAAATTGATTAACTGTGAAAACTAAACAACAATCAAATAAACTCTCAAACGGTATTCAACATCACAATGCGATCGATCTGATCTGGAGGAGTGTGTCTTCTGCCTTCTGCCTCTCTTGAAGTTGCCGCAAGTTGCAAACAGATCATTTAACGTGACACCTTAATAAAAAATTGTCGCCCTGTGTGAAAAGTGAGAGTCGAGCACGAGCTGCGAGAGAAATTATAACACATCGGCCCAAAACGGAGACCTAAACTTGAAATATATTTCACACAATAACAAATATACGAAAAGAAAAAAATAATAAATACTGGTTTGGTGCTCAGCTCGCTTCAAAATATTCAAGACGGGGCATAAAACTGTCAATCCGAAAGAGGCGACTTTACGGCCAGGCCCCCCCTTCCAGCTTGTTTGCATTGGCTTTGAGTGTGGCTCTGACTCTGACTCTGACTCTGACTTTGCTTGTTGGCCTGGCTAACTGGCTGGCTGTCTGTCTGGTCCGGCTCGGCTCGGCTTGGCTTGGCTTGGCTTGGCACTTAGCATGCGCATGCGCTACCGTTTTCTTGGCCAGTTGTATTTTAGCCATTAGCACGTTCGGAGCTGGAGCTGTTGCCGCCGTCAACAAGTGTGAAGAGTCGCAGAGTCTGAGTCTGAACCAAGTGCTCAACTATATACATATTTATATACAAATAAAAAACTAAAAGTGAATTAAGACTGGGCGTTAAGCATTTAATGTTGCCGCGAAAGCGAAAGTTGCGTGCAAAGTGGAGTTTTTTTAGTTGCCTCAAAACAGCAAATAACTGTTTGATTAAAAATAACAACAAAGACTTTGTTTTAAAACGAAAATTGAACAAACAAAGCGTGCGAAATCAAGAAAAACAACAACTAGAACAACACAGCAACAACAACAACCAAAACAGCGAAACAACCTTCGAGAATTCCTCAACAACAACAACAACAAGACCAACAATAACTCAGCCCAGCCCAGCCCAGCTTCAAAATGCCTGGAGCCAGTTCTCAGTCGCGTCTCTTCTTCTACCTGCTGTGTGTGGCATCTCTGTTGGCCGTCTCAAAATCGGATACCGGTAGTACAAAGAACTCCTACTTTATGTCGTATTTCTATTATCTGATCGTTAACTTTATCAACCCATTCGCAATGCCCGTCTTCTATCGTTTCGCCCATGTCTGCCTAAGCTAGACTCCTATCGAATTTGTTAAACATATTGAAATATTATATATAACTACATATTGTAACTCAATTTGTACATATCTGTATATATTATATATAGTTTTATCTGTAAACTAAGACTGTTATTTGTGTGTTCAAAATGTGATCGGCCAATTGGGTTAGTTTAGTTAGTTACTGATAATTTACTCGTCGTCTTCGTCGTACCTGCTCTCTTTGTGATAAACCTTTTGATAACTTGTACAATAAAATATGTAAAAAAAAACTGCTTTAAATGTGATGGTGTTTTTATTTATAGTCTTAAGTGTATATATCATTTAAGTTGTAAATATGTCATCTGAAAATATTCTTTTAGTGTGCATTTACAAAAATTCATCTTTAGCCTTTGGCCATCATATTGATAAATATATTACTTACACCAACTAATAAATATGTTTAAGCTCTAGAAAATTTTCTTTAATTAGATTTGCATTTTATATACTTTTTCTTTTCTCTGCACTTTCTTACGAAAATTTAAATAGTTCTTGATGTAGATTAAATATAAAGGAATCTTGGATGTTTAGCTGAACTAGTTCGCATTGAATAGATTAGAATGGAAATCGAATTGTACCTATATTCGTGAAAATGAGGCACCTATAGTTGAAATGAAATAATGTAGTTTATATAGTCTCTGAGATTGTATTTTTTGGAGACTAATTTGGCTGAATCAACTTCTTAAATTTTTTACTTTGATTTGAAAACTGAGAAACTTTTTTTAAAGTAGATATGCTAAGGGCCAATACCATCTACGCAAGCTTTACAGCTAAGCAGACTAGCTTAGATGTTATGCAAAAACTAACTGACTCAAATCTAACCTAACCTAACCTAACCTTGTTATAATAATAATAACGATATCTGCCCTGACCAAAAAAATGTAATTCTGATAATAACCAAATCTCAAATTGGCTAAAAAACAATCTATGATCAGGGCTGCGAATGCCAAAGAGCCCATAAAACATAAGACACACCACATAGACATCACACACACGCACACACACCACATATACACACACACAACATAGACACAGCACACGGCGCCAATTAAACATTATACAACAAGTCGCAAGTGGCGCTCGTGCAAGGGCCATAACAAGTTACAGTTGTGGACGTGACGTCTTGCCCAATGCCAATATTCGAATAGACGACTAACTGCATCTAAAACAAAAGCGAATGCCGACCATAAGCCACATGAACTATTAATATATATATATATACATATATATATTCACAGACCAACATTAATCTGCTGTCCACGTTCTCAGCGCACTTGAAGGTTGTTGTTTGCCGCATTGTGTGTTCGTTGTGGCTTTAGCCAATTAGCACATGGCACGCAGCATTTAAGCCAAAGGTATTCTTTGATGATATATGTGGTATCTGCCAGTCGAGTCGAAAACTTAAACACCACTGGATTTCAAAAGAGAGTGAGAGTGAGTGCAGTGAGAGAGACAGATGCTGATTGTGTAGAGCAATCTTCAGCTTCCAGTTTACCCGTATTTTTTTCACATAGTGTCTCTTCTCTCAGAGTCGCTCTCTTGTCCATGATCTTGACCACGACTCAAACTTGGCCGGTTGAGTTGGTAGCTGGTAGTTGGTAGCTCTCATTGACATCAAAAATAGTCGCGAGTCGCATCGGCAGTCAAGGTTAATAGTTGAAACTGTTAGCCGCCGCTGGGCTGGCTATCAATTTGTGTGTTGTTTGATTTTGGTCTTTGGTCTTTGGTTTTGGGTTTTGGCTAATGATTGCCGGCTACGTCAGTGTTGGCTCTGATGCGGAACTATTTAAAACGCGGAAGTTCACACAAGAGATGATTAAGCATAATAAATTTAAATATTTCTTGTTTTTTTTTTTTTTTTGTTATTTTTGTTCGTTTAGTTGTCGAAGTTGTTTCGTAGAGAACTTGAGCTACTAATCTCGTTTGGTCAAAGAAGTTTTAGAAGACTGCTTAATTGGGAACGAGGACTCCACCTTCAAATCCCAATATGTGTAGTTCTCAAACTTGATATCAATAAATAAAAATAATGATAATCAAGTCAAATCTGGTAGGCACATGTTTTCTATAAAACGTAATATGCAAATCGATTTCTATAAAGTATTTTTATTCATATTTTAACTCTATTTTGTTTGCTTCTTTATAGAACTTTGCCTTAAAAAAGTATAACAATATCGATAATCAGTCCAAGACCACTACTAACTTATACACTTAGAGGAATACAAAAAAATACATATTTAACAATTTTGCAAAACTAACTGACTTTTTGTTTTATTCGTAAGTCAGTGTGATTTTATTTTTTTTTTGGAACAACTGTATATAAATTCTCTCTCATGCTGTCACACATTCACATTCGCACACTCATCACACTCGAATACCATTCACGAATTCACTCACAGTGCCACTGCAGCCACCTACCGAGGATCTGGCTTACGATGCCGTGCTCCAATTGGGTCTCTTAAATCATCGTCTGAATCAGCTGGCCAATGAGGAGGAATCCAGGCAATTGAGTTTATCAAATCTGACACTCAACGCACTAGTCAATCGTATACCGTGTAATTGTAACGAAGGTCTATGCAAATGCTGTGCAGGTCTGTTTTCTCATTACTCATCTGCTACTTTATAGGGTAAGTTCGTCAAACTTTTTTGATATCAGGTTTTCTCGCGGTGATTGGCATGAACAGCTGCACGGAGGTCGCCTATCGCCCAGAGGAGTTCTCATTTGAGCTGCGAATGAGAGTCAACGATAAAATTTGGTTCCGCCATAAGGTCTCCGGCCAGAATCCGCCGCCTTTCTGCTTCCGGCCGCCACGCTTCAACTTTGCCCGCGCCTGCATCCAGTTCCACGACATTTGGTTCGTCGGTCGCAACATGCACGTCTGCATGTTCATGTCCGGAGAGTTCCAGGGATTCGAGCTATTCGAACGGTAAGTTATTACGAGTAATGTTAGGTGACATTTGATCACTATTCTCAGATTTTATGGACGGAATTGTGCCATGCATTTCCACGGAAAGTCTTCTTTTGTAATTTAAATGCAGTCTTGATCTAGAGATCAAACTATGTTTTTTGAAAATTGGTTCAGCTTTGACAAAGTTATGGCTGTGTACAATTCTTCAACTAATTGTTTTTTTTTCAGTCTGTAATTTCTCGATTATTTTCCCTGCTTTATTTTTAGCAATTTTGATTGTCTATTGTTTGGTGATCATGGCGTCAAGATCGTACCACCCGAGCAGGGTTATCCGGTGCGTCCCAACGATGTAGCTATTGAGGAGGTCGAAGATGAGATCGAGGACTATGATGAGAATGTTGTCCGCAATCTGGCCGAAAGGATGTTCAGCTGATCGAGCTGCTAGTCAAAAGCACAGAAATCCTCCAATAACATAATCTGTAACCCATTATCCCTTGACCCTTGAACACTAACGCTTTTATACGTAATCGAACACTCTTCATACTGCATCCCACATACTACCTCATGCTCCCGATTCCCTATCCTATATCCTACATACTCCCCTGATTCCCTACTTAGTCTAAACTCTTTTAATTTATTATTATCACCTCGTCATTGTTTATTTATTAAAGCAGGCGAAACGCTTGATGTCATCATGTCCTTTTATCCTGCGCCACTTGGCTGCCTACTCACTTGAAAGCAAAGCCCAACCCTTCTCCCTCCCCACCCCTTCACTCATCCAACAGACCATAAGGAGCCACCTGATGCGTCGCTTGCCAAGTGTGAAAACTGCAAAAGGTGCGACGTGTGATGTTCATCATTCAAAAGCCAGTGAACAAAACTCCCCCCATGCAGATATCCCCTACCGCGTACTCCCCTCCCGCTGACCTTGTCTAACCACAGCATGTGCAGTCAGCGCATCCGCATCCTGTTGTGCCTGCCTCTCTGCCCCTCTGCCTCAGTCGTTTCTTTCAAGTGCAGAATAAAACACAAAGCGCATTCAAATTGTAAAGAATAATGCAACCGGTTGCGTTGCATGTGCAACTGCAGTCATACGAGGTACCCCGAGGGGGGTGGAGGGGAGAGGGTGTAGTCGTATTCTTTTTGCATATGCAGCAACACGTCGAGGCGACGATGATGATGGAGTTCGAGCTGAAGCTGTTGCTGTTGCTGCTGCTGCTGCACTTCGTTTGACTCGCAGTTGACTGTAATAAAGGACTTTTCACAGGACCAGAACGAGAATGCAATACATTCACATGGTAGCAGGACAAGACCTCAAACCGAGAGTCTCTTGCAAAGTATTATTTCGCACTTGAGGCCTCAAATCGTTGCAACAAGGGCAAGTAGCAAGGGGCAGATGGCATGTGGCAGGCAGGTGTCATGCAAATGCAAAAAGGATGCAGGCAGCAGAATATGCATGTATGCAATCCAAGCAATGCAAAACACTTGTGGCCCACACAGCAATTAACAGAGTGGCCAATACTGGTGTGAAAGATGATTAAAAGGCTTGGTGAAAATGAGGAATGGGATTCATTTGCTAATTAGCTACATAATTAGCTTAAGTTTTAAGTTGTGTATAAGAGTGTTTATAACAAGAAATAACGACTACCTAAGGCGCACCGAAGATTATCAATATTATCATTATTACTTCTATGAAAGCTATATGATGTAGAGGTGCAATTTTGATAGTACAATAATAATAAGACGTGCACTGAGTAAATTTGGTTTTGATATCTAGGTAAATAAAAAAAAGTTGATAAAACTAAACTATATTTCTTCGCAGCTGAAAACAGAAAGCACTATTCACTTTCTTTCCTACTCATTTTCTATTTATTCTTTCCTTCCTTTTTCCAGTCATTTCACTCCTTTTAATGTATTTAATTCATTTATTCATATTCACTTTCTCCCCTATATATTCTATAATTATTCTTCACTCCTTTTCACATTCTTATTTTCATTCATTCATATTAACCTTATCCGCTGCTCATTGTATTTATTTATATTTATAAATAAATATTCAAACGTTGCCAAACTCATAGCAAACAACCATTCAATTAAAAGATACTTCCTATATTGACAGATAATTTTCCATGCCTATTGACTTTGTCACACACACGCACAAAGGCCTCAATTATGCTGTTGGTCATTGGCCATTAAGCTATTTAAAGGCCACTTCAGTTCCCGTTAAACACGTTGACCCCTTCGCACAACACAACGAAAGAAGACCATATGTGTGTGTATGAGAGGTGCGAACAACAACTAAGCTGACAATAAAAAGAAAGAGAAAAAAACGCTGGACTGGGCAGCTAATTTAAAATTCAAATTTGAGTGCATTTAGCGTTCAGTAATTGATTTGTTTGCACACACGCGACACCAAACACAGCAACAGCAACAACAGCAACCACAAACTAGTCGAGTCGAGTCGACCAACTGACCCAAGACCAGACCAGACAGACTCAAGCGAAACTCGACCAGGGGAAAACAAGGGCAGCAAACTGACCAGCAACTGACCCCTGACCCTCGATCAGTGTGTGTTGCCCGGCGCAACAGATGCACAGATACAAATCACTTAAGGTCCGCCCCTTTCCTCGGTCACTTTGGTCACTTGATGCGATTTGCAATGATACCTTTTTTTTATCTATTTTTTTTATTTGTTGCCTGTTCCCTGAGGTCAATTATATTATTTCCGGTTTTGTTGTGTGGTCAGCCAACAGAGAGGAAAAAAAACGTTTGAGTTAACTAGAGTGCTCGACTCGCAAATACCTCCTATTCTGTTCATGTTCAATAGGAAAATACGTTTTATACTATTCATCTGTATTTCTAAAATTGCATATCTGTTTATAATATATATCTGATGGTAGGCTATGTCTTTACAAATGTTTATTGTATTTGTATCGATATTCGTGAGACGGATAAAATAAATTTGATGAAAATTATTTCAAATTTGTATCCTCGACTTCTCCATAGAAACTCGGCTGGCTACTTTTGCACAGGGTATACCAAAAAAAAGATATCAAATTGAAGTGTCATGGTCAAATGGTTAGATCCGTGCCAAAGCGAGCCCCAGGGACACACACTCGCACAAACATATAAAGTAAAAGAGGATATTTTGTTATTATGCCCACTGTCTATTACAGAAGCTGTAATTGAATAAGTCACGCCCCAGGCCAAGTGGTCAAAAGGTGTGCCAGCATACGGGATTATGGAGGAAACATGTGCTGACAAAAAAAAAAAAAAACTAAAAAAAAATAGATTTTTATATATCAAGGGAATTTCACTTTGCTTAAAGTTCAATTTTGTTAAGCTTTCTCTTTCTTTGGAACTGTCTCTCTGTCTGTCTGTCTATTTATCTGGCCAGCGAAAGCAAATTTTCAAACTACCCCCAAAAGTAATTAAAAACATGGTCGCCGGTGGAGACGCCACCAACAACGACGACGACGAATGTTAATCAAAGCGGAGCATAGAAAAATACAAGAAAATATATTCGAGTGGAGCAGCTGAGCGAAGAGCTGAGGAGTTATATACACGAAACATTGAGCTACATTGTCCTTGGGGTATAATTTCTTTTAAATTTCTGCATTTAAGGCGGGGGGCAACTATGGGGAAACCGGGGGAGGGTATTCAGTAGTAGTCGTCCGAATACCAGACGGCTAGAGATGTGGCAGCGGAAAATGGTTCATTACTGCAGTGAGAGCATTTCGACGGGGAATCCAAGCGAGTATTAAATATGTGGTATACACAGATAAGTATATATACGTATATGAAGATTTAAAAATAAAAGAATTTTAATTCATTCTAATACTAAACGAAAAGTCATATAATTATTATATATATTGAATAATAATAGTTAATTAAATGAACGTCCTCTGGTCTGAGTATCTTTTAATTAGTTCTTTAACGTTTTCAGCTCGGTATTTATAATATTCTACGGGCTTATTTTTCATACTTCCCACTACTGTTATTGAATTAGAAATCTTTTTACCGAACGACTATTTAATATATACAAACAAATATAAATATTATAATATAATATTTATCTTAATATTAAATAAAAAAATCGAAAGTATTAAAAATTTATTTTATTCCAATGCTTATTTTTTGGATTGGTATTTTGAACTTTGTACTATTAGATGATAAGGACTCCTAAAGTATTCTTCAAACTTTTCAATGTAGTTTTTTATAAGATAATGTCTCATAGTTCCTATAACTGTTAACAAAATAAGAATATTTTCAACATTCGGCATTCCATATTATATACATTTTCTATCATCTCGCCCTCTTTTGAAATTTATTAATGTCATTAGCGCATATTATTTACAAAGAATGCTGCCCTATAACAAATAACTGGGGCATTAATTAAACTTATCGAACAGGTCAAGTTATGTCTCCAGCTACTGCATATGGATGAGCCTTGCTTCTGCCACTTCTATTATATCTATACTCAACGCAGATGACGCGCAATTTGTTAGAATCAAAAAATGTGAACAATTTTTCATAAGATATCTGTGACGAAAAATCTTTCACAAAAGTGAGAGAGAGACACACACACACACACACACATACAGCTAAAAAGCGAAAGGATACGCACAAGCAAGCACACACATATATATATATATATATCTGTATATATATTCTGTATATAGAAAGGACTTATGTACAAGGAATGTAAACGCGACTTTCATGCGTGATGTGCGTGAAAATTTCCCCTCTTTGTTGTGCGCGTCTGTGTGTGTGTGTGCGTGTGTGTGTGTGTGTATATAGAATATAAATACAGCGACACAGCGCGAGTTTCTTTCGATTTTCGGGGTGGTGTTTTTCTGGCCAAAGGGTTAAAAATCTGTGCGCTCAACATGCGTGAGTCGAGTATGTGCGTGTGTGTGTGTGTATGCGAGTGTGTGTGTGCGATAACAGCGTTGCCAGCTTGTCGACAGCATTATCTTCTTTGGAGCGCACAAACACTTTGCAAAGAGGACACAACAATGGGAAAACAAACAAAGTCATTTACATAGCTAACGAAGTGAGTGAACCAAGAGGAGGGAGAGAGAGAGAGAGAGAGAGAGAGAGAGAGAGATGGAGCAAAGAGGGGGCTAGTATGTGTATGGGACTGTGGCGCGTGTTGGCGGTTTGTGGCAAAAGTAAAATGGCGACCAGGGCAGGCAGGCAACTTACACTTTATGTGTCAATTTTTATACACATTTTGTGTCATCTTATCACAAACAGAAGCAGCGAAGACGGGAGTAGCAGGGGGCAACAGTCATTAGGTATTCAAGCTGGGCAAGTGAAGCCTTTATGTGCAGCCAACAAGAACCGTAAAGACTCACTATTGTTGCTGGCCATAATGAATATGATGGCTCTTATAAATGCGGTTCAAATTCAAAACAGGGGAGTTAAGTTGGGGAGGAGATGTTTTCAAATAGGGGAAGGTGGGCGGGGGGGGGGGGGGGGGCAGTTCTCAGTTGTGTTACATTGCAAAACTTATAGCCTTAACCCTTGTGCCATTTGGCACAACTGACGCCTCCATAATCTGGCCACATTCTGCTATTCCGCTGCAAACATTAAAATCTTTAAAAAATTTGCATACATTTTAAATTTGAACAAAGTTGGAAAATGATTTCTCTATGCAAAACAAAAACAATATTCAATAACAACTCGCTTCAAATATATAA